TAATTCCCTCAGTACATGTGTTAATGCATGGTTTGCACAACTTGCAAATTAGGCCATAATATCCAATGTATTACCTTAACCCAACTATCATTCCAGCACACATGCCACCTGGGAAATGAAATCAGGATGCAGATGGGGAGGAATTTAAAGCTGCATTCTGTACATACCTCCCAACTCAAGAATCCAGGCTCTTGGCAAAATAGCAAGAGTTCTGCTTGAAGTTCATTTAGTATAAATAAAATCTAGTTATAATTTGCTCACAAATACATAGTAACCACACTTTAGTGTAAAATCCTGTGAAGCACTTTGAGGCATTTTGATGATAACACACTTATCAAATCAAGGATTATTATTATTCTATATTTTTATTTGGTAGTCTGTAGCAACAATACCCAATACAATATATAGGATGGGAATCCTTTACTAATGCAATTCAGAGCATCCAGAATTTGGCAAATTCTTAATTTTGAAGCAGTTCTGTAAGAACTACAGAAAACTGGCTTCAAAATTAACCTGGCTGTAAATCCACCAATTTGTCAAATTCTGAACATTGTAGAATATAATTAATATGGTGAATAGAGACCAGGTGGAATGTTACCCCAGTAATCACTTTAATATTAATGAGAAGTAGAGACCAATTTAATTCCTGTGATTCAAGTTTGATATGATAAAAAAATTCTTCTGCATGGAATTTCATATGTAGAAGAGGCTTATAATAATAATAATAGTGTTAACTGGCTTTCTTAGTTTAGTGACACCCCTCCTGTATGTAGGACATTGCTGTGTGCAATTGTGCTGTCACGTTTGTTTACAAATACAGTCCCTCCATTTCACAGTAAATCCTGTGAAGCGATTTGAGACGTCCTTCTAACATAAGTTGTTATACCAAATGCAAGGACTATTATTAGTTTTTTTAAAATACATAGTCACTTCACCTTACTTTAAATTCTGTGAAGCATTTTGAGACATCCTCCCAACTTGAAAGGCGTTTTATCATATGCAGGATTATTACAACATAATAAAACTCCATTTACAGTAAAAATCCGTTAAAGTTCCAGGTTATTTGCTTCAAACAAATATAAGCTTGGGGGAAAGGGGTAAATCTGAAATTGCTTAGCTAATAAAAATAGTAGATGAGTCTCAAAAACCAATACACACTAATTAATGTCTCTTATCATAATGCATCTAAACTCTGTTCATTGACTCTACCTCTTAACTACACTAAAGTGCTCATTCCATTGCAGCTAAAAGAAATGAACCCTGTAAGGGGGATTGCTCACATTTGTACTTTTCAAGGGTTTCAGCTTGGCTCAGGTAGCAGCACTCTCATCTCTGAGTCAGAAAGTTGTGGGTTCAAACTCCACGTCAATGTTTGGGCTGGCAGTCAGAGAGCAGTACTAGTGAAATGCTTCACTGTCAGAGGTACTGTCATCAGATAAGTCATTTAACCAAAATCCTACCCAGCCTTTGAGGTGTTAAAGATCCCATGACCCATTCAAAAGAAACCAATGTCTTTTCTACCAGTATCCTGACCAATAATCCTTCATATTAATTTGTCATTCGCCCCATGGTTGTTTGTAGTACTTTGCTAAGAGAAAATAGCTGCCTTGTTTAATTAAAAATGTAATAATAATCCTTGCATTTGATATAGCGCTTTTCACATCTTCTAGACGTCTCAAAGAGCTTCACAAAATAGACTATAAAGTGAATTGACTGTATATTTGTGGGCGAAATGCAATTATATTTAACAATAATATCCCTCAAAATAAATATCAGAAGACACAACAGTAACATCTTATGTACTCATTGCATTACTGTAAAACACTCTGAGACATTTTCTGCGTAAAGTGCAATAAATAACGCAAGGTTTTTCTAATATTCTTGAAACCCAGCCAATGATGAAGAGTATAGTTTATATATCTTTGTAAGATACTACCGATCAGCTGGATAGATAAAGCACTGAACCAAATAGTTAAGAGAAGAAACAAAACAGCTGCCAGCAGACTAATTTGTAAAGAAAACATGTTTTAGTTGACAAGAATGATTTATTCAACATACAAAACTACAAATTGTTGCATCTTGCACTGAAATCACAGCCCAATGGATAGGGAAGCATAGAAAGCCAAGAATAACCTGTCAAACACTCTAGAGGACATGCCAGAAAATTACCCCAATACAGAAATGCAGCAACAGCCAAATGTAGGGAGGATTTTAAGTCATGACCTAAATGTAGAATCCTTCAAATGCAGTCCAGCTACATGGTTTCAGCTAGCTAAACTCCAGCAAAACCTTTGAAACCATTAAGCTGACAATACAATAATACTTGCATTTGATATTGCCCCTTATCACATTGTTGAAGCGTCTCAAAGTGTTTCACAGAATGTATTGCAAAGTGGATTGACTGTGTATTTTGTGGGTTAAACGCAGCAGCCAATTACCTACAATCGTGTCTCACAAACAGTTGTGGATTGAGTGACCAAACTTTTTGTTTTAAGGGATTATTTTCCCCGGAAAGCAATCTAACAACCGGGTTTTTACTTACTGCTAGGTAAATAGAGGTGTGTGAAGTAAGGGAACTTGCCTAAGGTTTAACCCCATCCGGGAATCAAACCCGGGTCCTTTCGCTTGCAAGACAAGCGAGCTAACCACTGCTCTACTGGAGTCCAGTTCAATGCCGGCAATTGTGATTCATCCCCAACTCCTCCCTCCACAGACTGCAGATCATCCAGAACTCTGTAGCCCATTTCCTCTCCCGCACCAGGCTCCGTGGCCCTATCACCCCTCATCCTCGCCCGACTCCACTGGCTTCCCATCACACAGAAGGTACAGTTCAATATCCTGGTCCTCACCTTCAAAGCCCTCCATGGTCTTGCTCCCCCTTATCTCTGCGACCTCCTAAACCTCTACCACCCTGCCCGCTGCCTCCACTCAGCAGCTCCAGCCTGCTTCACGCTCCCCGCCTCGCTCGCCCCACTAATGGCGAGCAGGCCTTCTGCCACTCTGCCCCAACCCTCTAGAACTCCATCCCGCAGTCCCTCCACCTCGCCCCCCTCGGCTGCTACCTTCAAGACTCATCTCAAGACCTTTCTCTTCGACCTTGCCTTCGGTCACCCTCCTACACCTCCCCACCCACCTTCCCCAATCCCCAGCTCGGGTGCGGATCCCTGACTGTCTGGGGACATCCTCCTGACGTGAAAGGCGCTTTACAAATGTCATTTGTTGTTGTTGGGGGTTTCTTTTGGATCAGATGTTGAGCTGCTGTGCTGTCAGCTGTCCTGTTCTGTCCTTTGTACCGGGATCCTGATGAATAATCCTTCACTATTCAGTAAATGTTAAAGATCCCGAGGTACAATTTGAGAAGTGAAGGGAGTTTCTCCCGATGCCCCTCAAACAGATCAAAACAACGTTGACATTTATATAAACTGTACCAACACACAGTCAAATCCACGTTAGTGTATATCCTGGGAAGCGCTTTGAGAGTCTGGATGATGATAAGGCGCTATATCAAATGCAAGGATTATTATTGTTAGGACAACAAACCGTTTACCCCTGACTGACTGACACTGACTGACACACACTGACTGACACACACTGACTGACTGACACTGACTGACACACACTGACTGACTGACACTGACACACACTGACTGACACACACTGACTGACTGACACTGACTGACACACACTGACTGACACACACTGACTGACTGACACTGACACACACTGACTGACACACACTGACTGACTGACACACACTGACTGACTGACACTGACTGACACACACTGACTGACACACACTGACTGACACACACTGACTGACTGACACTGACACTGACTGACACACACTGACTGACACACACTGACTGACTGACACTGACTGACACACACTGACTGACACACACTGACTGACTGACACTGACTGACACACACTGACTGACACTCACTGACCACACTGACTGACACACACTGACTGACTGACACACACTGACTGACACACACTGACTGACACACACACTGACTGACTGACTGACTGACACACCACACTGACTGACACACACACTGACTGACACACACACACCTGACTGACACACACACTGACTGACTGACACACACACTGACTGACTGACACACACACTGACTGACTGACTGACACACACACTGACTGACTGACACACACACTGACTGACTGACACTGACTGACACACACTGACTGACACACACACACTGACACACACACACTGACTGACACACACTGACTGACACACACTGACTGACACACACTGACTGATACACACACACTGACACACACACACTGACACACACACACTGACTGACACACACACACTGACTGACTGACACACACTGACACACACACACTGACTGACACACACTGACTGACACACACTGACTGACTGACTGACACTGACACACACTGACTGACTGACTGACACTGACACACACTGACTGACTGACACTGACTGACACACACACTGACTGACACACACACTGACACACACACACTGACTGACTGACACACACTGACTGACACACACTGACACACACTGACTGACACACACACACTGACTGAGACGCGGCAATGCTGCGCGTTACAGCCGAGCAAATCCTCTTTCAGCGCTTGAGAAAGCTGGGCGATTCCTCCCGCCCAGTAGGGGGCGCCGCTGGCAGCCGCCGCCGCCGCCGGCCATGTGGCCCGGATTGTGCGGGTTCACTCCGAATTGGGCGGGTTTTGCTGGTAACTGCGCGTGAAAAAAAACGGCTTTGGGCGGGTGCCCCGTTTCGAAAACAAGTTAAAACGGTTAAAACTTCCCCTTTTTTTCCCCCCTTTTTGAATACTTTTTTTTCAGCAAATACACAGTTTCAGCAGAACAAACCTACACCGCCCCCGCCGCCCCCCCACCCCCCCCCCCGGGGCGGAACATTGGGCTATTTCGGGGCTACAAACGGGCTGCCGACAAACCCGCTGACGTCACTGCGCCGGGCCAGCGCCAGGTCGGCGTGACGAGTTTCCGGTTCCGGTGTGCTCGAGCGGCGGCGGCGGCGGCGGCGCCGGACTGATCCCAAACACAAAATGGGGAAACGGGACAATCGGGTGGTGAGTTACCGGGGCAACCGTGGGGGGGGGGCGGGGGGGTTACCAGGGCAACGGCATCATCGGGGAGGGGTTGCTGTCGGGGCAGTGGGGTCGAGGCTGACAGCTCCCCCTCCTCTCCGCTCACCCACCCACTGCGGGACCGGTGCAACTCGAGCTCGCTGCTTTGAGGCCTAAACGTCCCCCTGTGAACAGCTGGGCCGCCGCCTGACTGCCACTCACACAGGCTGGGCAGGCAGCGCCTGACTGCCACTCACACAGGCTGGGCAGGCAGTCACACACACACACACACACCTCCACATCAACACAGGCCTCGCAGATCAACCCCTCCCCCCCCACACACAGACCCCTCCATATCAACACAGGCCTCGCAGATCAACCCCCCTCCCCCCCCCCCCACACACACACACACCTCCACATCAACACAGGCCTCGCAGATCACTCCCTCCCCCCCCCCCCCCCCCCCCCCCCACACACACACACCCCTCCACATCAACACAGGCCTCGCAGATCAACTCTACCCCCCACGCACAAGATTAAACAAAGTGTTATTTAAAGCTAATAAAGATGTAATGCTGTGCAGGCTATTTGCCATAACAGTTGGGTTGCAATAGCAGAATCTTGGAAACTTCCATCCATATTAATGTGCAGGAATCTCATTTATTTGGGGATTTATTTTTAAATGAACTACGTTTTTAAAAACACTGGCAGGCTGTACAACACTACAGTGATGCTGTAGATGAAATCAGAAATTATTCTGATTAGACACCTTACCCAAATGTCTGTTGTATGATGATAATAATAATAATACCTTTCACGTCGGCAGGATGTCCCAAAGCACTGCATAGGATTTACTGTGAGGTGGAGTGACTGTGTATATGTGGTGAACGTGACAGCCAATTTGTGCAACAGCATTATCCCACAAACAACTGTGAAGTGAATGGGATCTTCAACATCCACTTGAAAGAGCTGGTTTTGTCTTCAACTGTTCTTTCTCTGTTTCTTTTAACAATCCTTTATCTTTAAAGCTGCAATATAAATAGTGTACCATTCATTAACTGCGATTAGATATATCCTTTCAGATAATCAGACTTTGCAGGGGCTTTGTTTATGCAGCATAAACACCTACTCAATTTGGGTTAGGTTATTCTCCCACCTCTGAGATATCCTTCTTCGAAAATGGTGACTTGTAATTCATAGACAAGATCTGTAGAACAGGGCAGAATAAGTTACTGAAAATGTAAAGGTGTTCATTATATCAATGTACGTCATCCATTTGAAGTGGAGAAATGCACATTTCAAAGCAGCTCCTTTGAGTAGAACAAGTAGAACTTGTTCAGTAGAACAAACTAAATGTAGAATTTTCAATGGGATATATTTTCATCAATGGGAAACAAATCAATGCAACAAAATGTTGACAAGACAGAAGCCATACTCCTTGGCTCCCATCAACGTCGTCTGTCCTGCGGCTCTAACCTTTGTCAACCTCCCCGGCCTTTCATTGAACTGGTGGGCAACCAAGGCATCAGGTTCGACCCACAGGTGTTCTTCTTTTCCCCACATCCAGTCTCTAACTAGGACCACGTTCCTCCACCTCATTGCTTGTCTCCGACCATACGTTATCCCAGACACAGCCGAAACACTCGTCCATGCATTTGTCACCTCCCGACTCAACTTCAAATGCTCTCTTCGCCATTCTCTCCAGCTCCACCATGCACAAGATCCAGTTGATTTAAAATTGCCACATGCATACTCGCCCGTACTAAACTCCGTACCTCCGTCTCACCAGTTCTAGCCAGGCTCCACGGGCTCTCTATCGTCGAACGGATCAATGTCAAGATCCTCACACTCGTTTTCAAATCCCTTTATGCCATGGCACCTCCCTACCTCTCTGGCCTGCTTACTCCCCAACCCACTACCCACTGCCTCCGCTTGATTGGCTCTGGCCTCTTGGCCCTCATGCCCTCTGCTCCACCGTCGGTGGCTACACTTTTAGCCACTACGTCCCAAAACTCTGGAACACTCTTCCTCTATCCCTCCACCTTGCCCCTTCCCTATCTTCAGGTCGGGCCGGTAGACCTATTCTCTTCGACCGTGCCTATGGTCACCTCTCCCTGGCTCGGCGGTGTGCTCTGCTACTGTCAAGCACTCTGGGATGCTACCCTGTGTGAGGGGCGCTATACAACTCAAGCTGTTGTTGAATAAGATTCAGTACACAAACTTGAAAATGATTTAAAGAGTTCCTCATGACCCAATAAGTGTCAGCCTGCTGCAGTCAGTCCTGAGTCAGAAGATTGTGGGCTCAAGCCCCACATCAGGACTTTGAGCTCATAGTCTACGCTGACACTGGCATGGCACAATTCAAGAAGAGAAGGAAGTTTCTCTTGGTATCCTGGCCAACAGCACCTCATTAAAAACACGGTCATTCATTTCATAATTGTTTGTGGAACATTGCTGTGTGTAAATTGGTGGCGGGGTTCACTATAAATACACACTCACTACACATTACTGAAAACTGAAGTAATTTGCGATGTTTGATGTAACAATTCTTAATATCTAATGCTCGGGTTGTTATTCAGACACAATACAAAGCACCTTTTGCTGAGTGATTTTGCTTTTGTTGCATCCAAAGTTTACCTATACCAATTGTGATACCTGGCTTAAACACTGGACAATTTACCGTGCCCATGGTATTCTCGCCTATGGTTGAATCCATCTCTACTATTGCAGAATATTGTATTCATTTTTTAAAGTATAAGCATGGTATTATTTGACATAATGATAAGTATATGTTCATAAATGGTTGAATTGTATCAATATTACATCCTTTATCTAGGCTTTTGTTAATCCAGTGGCTCTCGCAAGAGCTCGAGGCCCTGCACCTTCTTCGGGACCTTCTATTCAGGATTACTTGAGCAGACCAAGACCCACATGGTAAGCAAATCAAGATTTGTACACTGTACGGTTTCTAGGTGTGACTAGCTAACTGGGTGTCACCTAGTCACAACTAGGTGAGGTTAATTACCCTGTGGTTACAATAACATTATTTTATAGTTTTTCTTGAAATTAAATTTGCTATTAGTTTTTTCAATACTGAAATGCACCCTGGTATAGTGTAATAAAACTACTGGAAGACCATTGTCTTTCTCACACACTCCAAATTTTGACGAAGCCATTACACAGAACAAACTGATCAGACCACATGGAAGGCAGCTCTTCACGTTTATGTAATCCAGAGGACATTTCCCCTCCCCAGTTCCTGCTTGCAATCCCTGGCATTCCATGGGGGTGATCCAGTTCTGGAGTGACCTTTATAGGAGAAATGCTCCTCCCACATCTGATTGGCAGTTTTACACTGCCTCCTTCCCCACTTGGCCTGTCGCCATTGCTCTTGGAACTGGCAACATCACACAATCACACTGTTGTACACCAGCTGGCCCCAGTGAGTCCAGCCCACGGGAGAGTGATCCCTGCTCTTGTGGGCTGTTTGTCACTCCATAAACAGCTTGAAGGCCAGATGACCTGACCAGTGTGATCTGCTTTGTGGTCTCCACATACAGGGCCTTTACAAAATCTCATTTTCATTTCTGCAATTGCATTGATCAAATACACATGTTTTCAGTTTGGTGGTCCAAATTTACTTTATTGTTTTTCATCTGATACACACATTTTAACCTGATACACATATTTTAACCCAGGGGTAAGGGTGCACATTATACATTGTAGAGAAAATAAAAAAAATCAAATGAGGGACTTGCATTCAATTTGTTTTAGTTATCTGAGTGTCTGATGCATGCAGAAACCCATCAGCATGCTCAAAAGTATCCAAACCAGACAAAGAGTTCTACATATATGCCACCTAGAAATGGGAATTTCACTGTGTCTGGAATGAAATCTGCACTCTCTCCCTAAAGGAATGCACTCTATTTACCTAATCCCAGAGATTATTAGGCACGGGTTGGCAAAACCAAGACTTGGGGACCCCAGATTGTGCATTGGGGGTACTGCTGTAGTTTAAAATCAGCTAAAACTGCATAGCTTGGTATTGAAAGCCCTGTCTGGTAAGCTTCTATCTATTTGACCAGTTAGGACACCATATCTGTTAGTGCTCGAACTTGCAGGATTAACATTAGCTGAGTGGAAAGAAAAGCCCTGCTCCCAGTAACTGGTCTCCATGTCCGGCTGATCTGTCATCATCAATGCCCTGAAGAGTACTGCAGTTCACCACAATTGTCACAAAGGATTGACCCAATTATTTATAACATTCTGTTGCCAATCATGTCACCCTAGTGCCAGCTCAACTCTAAGGAGACCCTTGCTTACTCTATCACTTGGCATCATTTTCATCTGCTCATATTTGCACTACCTCTAGGCTTGGGGACCTCAGAGTGTTCAGAGTGTCCCTCTCTGTTATTTAACTTGGTTATTCTGACTTGTCTAAAATGAATGGATAATACATTAATGCTAAATAATACTGCAGTTATCATCAAGTTTTCAGCAGTGTTGACAAGTATTCTATTTGAAGCACATTTATGTGAACAGTATTTTGTTTTTCTTAGGAGTTGTAATTATTTACATATTCCAATTAAATCATGGTATAAAATGGAAAGAATTTGGGATGCAAGCAGAAATAATAATAATAATAATAATAATAATAATCCTTGCATTTGATATAGCGCTATTCACGTCGGGAGGACGTCCCAAAGCGCTTCACAGAATATACTGTAAAGTGAGTTGACTGTATATTTGTGGGCGAACGCAGCAGCCAATTGCGCACAGCAATGTCCCACAAACAGTCATAGATTGAAAATGACCAATTTAATTATTGTTTTTGGTTTTGGAGGGATTATTATTAGACGTTATTATTATTATTATTAGAAAGGTGGCATTGGTTAAATTGCTCATGTGCAGAGAAGTGTTGGCTCAGTTGGTAGTATTTTTGCCTCTGAATCAGAAAGTTGGGGGTTCAGGCCCCATGTTGGGCCTTTGAACTCACAATCTAGGCTGACATCAGTGCATTGCTGGAGGAGGGTTGCCTTATCTGAGGGGTTATGCTTCAGATGAGATATTATACTGAAGTCCCGTCTGCCTGTTCAGGTGGATGTTAAAGATCCCAAGGTACTATTCAAAAAATGAAAGGAGGTTCTCTCAGTGTCTCGGCCAACTATTCTCCAAATAAGATTGGCCACTCACTTCATAACTATTATATGCTGTGTCCAAATTGGTGTTTGCCTAAAAATACACAGACTGTACTCTTGGAGTAAATTTTGTGAAGGGCTTTGAGATGTTTCAACAATGTGATGTGGCATAATATCAAATGCAATGCCTTTAAACATGTTTCATGTTTCTCCAGGGAAGAATTAAAGGAGCAACTTGAAAAGAAAAAGAAAGGTTCAAAAGCCCTTGCAGATTTTGAAGAGAAAATGAATGAGGTTTGTTGGTATCAAGTTAAAGAGGAACTGTATAAAACATAATAAATCGAACAATGGTGAGAACTTTCCGCAGGTGTATAAAATCCTGCCTGCTACAACACATGACCATCATTAGTTATTCATCTTGTGGACTTTGAGCAATAGGATAAAGTAGAACCCTTTGCACAGAATTTATGTTGAATGTTTTGTACCAGTTAAAAGTTTAACATAAAATTCCATCTAATCGTGGCCTCTAACACCAATTTATCTTAAATTTAAGATTATGCAGAATTATATAAAAATCTTAATTTTGTGAAGCCTGTTTTCTGTAGTTCTTAAAAAGAAACAGGTCCAAATTAACATAAAATTTTCGACAAATCAGTATGTTTTTAAATTTTACGGTAAAATGATTTACAGATTAAGATTGCAGGATTCATAGCATTTTACAGCAGAGGGGTTGAGTTTGGTTTAGAAATGCAGGCATATGTGAATGGGTATATATCAAGTGAAATAGTATAATCCAAATAAGAGTTTTGTTTCTCTAAAACAAAACAGTGGATGAGGAAGAAACAGGTAGTATCTAGCACCTTCTAACTTTGCAAGACAGGCTTGTGACACTTTTACACGTTGCACAAATTAAGTTTAAACCTAATTTTTTTTTAAATTCATGTAGCGTATTTATACCCACAGTACTATCTTATGGTAAGATTTTGATTTGAGCCAGGTTATTGAGGGACGGGAGATGTCAAAGGAACGGTGAGATTCCTGACTCATCCAGTGTGTTAAGAGTAGCATAAGTGGATTTTGCCTTTGGCTTCCTTCTTTGTTTTGGGGAAAGCCTTTTCAAAGCATTTGATTATGGTCATAACTCTGTTTTTCACACATTACGTGCTGCAAAACATGAATGTGTTAACATGTAGTACCCCTGCGCTCTCTTTATAGTTGTGAGGACATTACATTGGAAAGCCACATTGCAAAAATAGTTACGTTCTGTTTCTCCTCAGAGGTCACCCAGTGATTCTCTTAATGGATTTTCTCATCCCCTATGATCTGGAACTTTGTTAAGCATCTGCTTTCTAGCTTCACAGATGAGTCATGATCCAGGCTAACAATAAGCCTTTGTATTATGGCAAATATGCATTCTCTTCAAACTTCAAACTTCTGTTCGTGCGGCAGGTATTAAAGTCTTGGACCATAATCTCACAGTTCAGTTATTTTATTCTGAGGACATCAAAATGAACTGTCCTCAGCATTGATGTTCTTTGTTAATAATAATAAGAATTCTGCAGACGAAGCTTGATTCCCATGCAGTGTCCTTCAATAATATCCCAAGAATGGGTATAAATCTCTGGTTGTACTGTTTAAGACACTGGAACAATGGAAAATGTCATATTGTTTGAAAAATCAACCACATTTTTATATTTGAAAGATCTTGAGCATACTGAGGTGTTGATCATGACTCAATAGCCCAATAATACACTCCTATGGTATTAAAGTAATTTTGATTCCCTTCTTAGTTGAAGGCACTTAGGCTGTAGTATTATTTCAGATGTGCAAACTGCTATCCATTAATACCCAAGTAATCACTTAAGTAATTACTCTTCACATCTGAGCCCACAGATGGAGTGTCAGCATGCTGGGCAACCGAGGGGAACCGATTGAGTCAATTGGATATGACTGCTGCATTTCCTTATGAAGTTATGCAGTTGATGTGAATATTCAGTATTACAAGTCAATTGCTGAATTCATTGACATGATATTCAACTCTAGGAATCTCAAATAATGACTATCCTGGAGATTTTCAACGAGTCTTTTGTTATTTGACTTTCAGAAATGGAAACGAGAACTTGAGAAGAACAGGGTGAAGATACTTGGTGGGACAGAAAGCTCTTCTAAAAAGAAAGAGGTAAAACATCACAAGAAAGCTTAAACCTGTAAAATCTCAAGACACAAACACTGTCCCTTTAATTCTAGAATTTAATAATAATCCTTGCATTTGATATGGAACCTTATCACGTCATCGAGACTTCTCAAAGTGCTTCTCAAATTATACTGTAAAGTGAATTGACTGTATATTTTGTGGGTGAAATTCAATGCAAATATAATAAAAGCCTCTCTGCCAACTGAAGGGCCTTATTTGGAAAACGTTTGAGTAGTATCAGTTTGGTTTCCAGTATACCCACACCAAAAATGCTGAAGAGTAATTAATAGGTCAGCAATCTCACTGGGGTGACAAATTGAATTATCATTCTGGCAGAGTGGTAAAGGTGGTGAAGGGAATAGGTGTCTCCTTTTGGAGACCGGCCTAAAACTCAAAAGTTAAATTAGTGTAAAGCAGTAAAGCAGTGGTTACTCGCTATATGGCCCAGAGGCCATTTATTTAATTCATGGCATATGTTTCTGGGTCTCTTTTAAAACCTGTCTGGCTCGGGATGTCTGGCTTTTCAAGCTTTCCATCAAAGTAAGTAAGATAATCGATTCATTGGCAGCTTTTAAAAAGCAATTAAAGAGCTCTATTAAAGTAGAACTTGTTGTTCCTCTTGATACAGAGGATTTTCTGGCCTACACTTGGCAACTCCCTACAGTCATTGAAATCAAGAGCTGACTGGAGAATCACAAGCACAAGTTCGCATTCTGTCACGTCTTAGACAGTATGTTCTTGAAAGGAGCCCTGAATTGAGATTCATTGCTTAGGATCGTGTGTGTTGGCAAAAGGCTAATTATTTACTTGGAAAAAAAGAGGTACAAAGCAAGGTACCCAAGGTTGATTTTTTTTAATCATGCTACACTTAACATAAGTATTTGAAATTAATACTTTGCACAAAGAATAGAAAATGTTCCATTCCCCATTCTTGTGGGTTCAAGGCCCAGGTCAAGGCTTAGACAGTGTTTGTGTCTTGAGTTTTTATAGGTTTAAGTCTAAGATGACACTCCAATGCAGTGCTGGGTGGGGAGGGGGGGGTTGCATTATTGACGGTGCAGTCCTTTGGGTGAGACATTAAACTGATGTCCCATTAAGGTAGATGTTAAATATCCCATGGCATTATTCAAAAAGAGAAGGGAGTTTCTCTGGTGTCCTAATAAAATTGGTCACTCACTCCATGGCTGTTCTGTGGGACATTGCTGTGCTCAAACACAGTCACTTTGCAGTATATCTTGGGTGGCACTCAACGATTTGATAAAATGCTATATGAAATGCAAGGATCATAATGCTTATTATTATTAATTGTTGAAGAAAAAACATTAGCATTCCACAAGCACATTTGTGTGAGTTCATAACTTTTTTTTTCCATTCGTTACCAACTAATTAAACATCTTTTCCTATTATGGTTGGGGAGACACTTGTATTCCACTCACAGGCGTCTCCCATTGCAGCTCTGTCTCCAGCAACAAGTATGTGGGTATTCATGCCTAGGATAACTGGCTGTTTGAGTTTCTTTTTGTTACATTTGGGCTGGCTGAGATTAATGGTCTCCATACATGCCTGAAATCAGAAAGTCCATTATAGGAAATTATTGATTTGCATTTATGTCCTATACTCCTCAATCACTAAAGCGTTACAAGTTCACCCATCTGGGTATAATCACTGTGTGGGGGTTGCCAATGATTTTACTTGTTCATAACTCTTGCTTCCTGGTTTGGGCATAACAATGTTAACCTTCACCTGTCAAACTGAACAGTGGAAACTGGCAGAAAGGTAAGGAGCAGATTTTAAAGTTCATAAATAATTAGAAAATATAGAAGAACGTCGAACAAAAACGATGGAGAATAAGGAGAAGAGAAAGAACTCACACAATATTTGAAGTGTTTAATATTTTACAGTAGATTTAAATTTCTGTTTTAATGTGTACTTAAGTAGGCTAAGGTCAATATTTTAGTAAAATAATCCTAAAAGTATCAACCTGAAAGGGATTGAATGGTTAGCCCTCTTAAATGGGAGTTTATGACTCACTGTTTGTGGGAAATTGCACAAATTGACTGTTATGTACACCTACACAGACAATCATTGCACTTCACAGTAAAATCTTGTCAATTGCTTTGAGGTGTCTTGACGACACGATAAGGTGCTATATCAAATGCTATTATAAATTTATTGTATTTTATGATTCTTCCAAGAATATAAAGGTTGTTGTCAAACTGTTCTACACCCTGCAATATTTCATAAAATTAACAATTTATAGATGTTAGTCTTAAATCCAGTTTCTGTTGTTACATTTAGGATTTTAATTTATCGGCAATTACAAGAAAAATGTAAAAACTTATTTTCAAGTTTAAGAAAGATCTGCATAATTTCTCTGGTTAAAAACAAAACCTATATTTTATAATACCTGTGTGTAATGATTCTTTATTCTTCATCCTCCACAGAAAAAACGAAAAGAAAAGAAGAAAAGTAGGGTGAGCAAATTTTCAATGAAACAAATATGTATATATAATATATATAGTTTCTATTACAATTGATTTTTTGTCTGTTCCTATCTATTTTTTGAGTGCTTAACTTCTAAAATGAATAAAAAATCTCACAAGCTGTACTTTTATTGTGTTTGGTCAAGCCGTCTTCATCTTCCTCCTCATCATCAGACTCTGATTCTTCCAGCAGCTCCTCAGACACTGACAGTAAGGTGAGTAGGTCAGAACACTGCTGAATCCACCATAATATTGTTATAAAATAAGAGATTAGACTCCCAAGATTACCAGTCTGACTTGTGACCTTTTTTTTTAACACTGTTTTGTGATTAATGTACAACTTTGTAACCCATATTTAATCCTTGTATAAAATGAGGGCAAATTGCCCGAAAGTGCAGAATCATGGTTCTGCATGACTCAGGAGAAGTTATCAAGGGTTTTGATCGGAAGATACAAGGGGCATCAGTCCCAATTATTGGTTCTTATTGATACTGGGGGCTGTGGTGGACACCAACTTTTGTCTGGTCACTGTCTTGAAGGATGGCGCAGAGAAGGGGTAAAGGACAGTCTTGGCGTGCTTGTCTCTCTTCAAGGACAGCAAGGTCCCAATACAGGTCAAGCTTGCGGCATGTGAGACCTGTTTAAGGGATCTGAGCTTCTGCTGATGCAATGAAGGGGCTTCCTCCACTTGCAAAATCCAGGAACAAGTAATGAGGTGGATTTGAGGCAAAAATGGGAAGTGAGGGAGAACCCGGAGCGAGGCACCCTGCTCAACTGCAAGCCAGAGCTCTATTGGGTACGGTAGCCCTAGCTGGACAAGCAGTGGGAAAGCTTGCAGTGCTATCAATGACAAGCTATGCAGTTTTAGCTGGTTCGACTCTAGCAGTACCCCAAAGCACATTATGGGGTCCCCAAGCCTTGGCTCTTACCAACCTATGCCTAATACTTTCCAAAATTTGGCAAGCAGGGAGAGAAGGTGTATAGCAATCCAGTAAACATCCCTGGAATTTCCATGTCTAGATGGGATGCATGAAATTCTGTTTGGTGTAGATACTGTTAAGCACAATGATGGGTTTCTGTAGGTATCCGACCAATGTTGCTGTCCCTATTGTCTTTTTCAGAATGAAAAGAAACATCTGAAAAAGAAACGCAAACGAAAACACAATAGCGTGAGAAAATCCTCTGATGATTCTCGGACAGACTATGAGATGCTATATGTCAAGGTAAATAATAATAATAATAATAATAATAATCCTTGCATTTGATATAGCGCTTTTCACGTCGGGAGGACGTCCCAAAGCGCTTCACAGAATATACTGTAAAGTGAATTGACTGTATATTTGTGGGCGAACGCGGCAGCCAATTGCGCACAGCAATGTCCCACAAACAGTGGTAGATTGAAAATGACCAATTTATTATTGTTTTTGGTTTTGGAGGGATTATTATTAGGCATGTAACCAAATAACTGGCCTGTCAAAACTCCCTGTGTAACAGAAATAAAGGGTAAAGGGCAATTCAGCCCAAAAATCTTTAATAAATAATAATCCTAGTAGGACTATGACTTCATTATTCAATTAATTTAAATTACTGATATCTTTGCCCTTAGGAAACAACAAAGAAGAAAAAGCGAAAGTTCAAGGATGAAACTGAAAAAGAATACGTGAGTAGGATGTGCTCAAATATATAGTTGTATCCTGTGTAATGTCTAATTGTTTCTGCATAGAAACACTTTTGATCATAATGCAAATTCATACACGACAGTAGCTTATATGGCTTTGGTAATTCTGGGTGAAAGCTGCTGCTGTCAAATAATGAGTACTTAAAACTAGTTATGTCAAAATTTATATTCATTAGAGGAATGCTCCCACATAAGGTCCTGTACTTGTTTAACTTTTTATTCCTAAACGTTAAATTCATTTTGGAACCACCGGAATGTCTTGTGACCCCTGGAAAATTGCTCAGTCATTCCCAGCACTTGGCTAGGTTCAGTTGGGGGCTGAAAGCCATAACTGGTGATGAAATGATGCTCAGTTCTGAAAAATAATGGTCTTTCAAGGTATCTTTTTTTTGGTCAGGATGTCTGACACATGCAGAACACCATCACTGTGCTTAAGAACATTCAATACAAATTGAGAGTTCCATGCATCTTACCCTATACATGGAAATTAAAAAGATGTTTATTGGAATGGAAAGTGCTCTCACCCTGGAGGGACACATCCTGCTTATCTAATTCCATATAGTATTAGGTGCAGGTTGGCAAAAGCCAAGGCCTGGGGCTCCCATAACCCTGGCAATACAAATGACTGCTAGATTATTGCTCTTTAATTTTGTGGAGTTTTGCATATTAGCTGCTGTAACAACTGTGATGATAAAACAACTTCCAATATAAAAATACCTTTTGCTGCAAGGATAAAAAGAAGAAGAAACGTGATCATTCACAGAAAAGAACTTCCGATGAACAATCCGATTCAGCTGAAGAGAATGAGGTTAGTACATAAATAATTAGTCTACTTAACCAACCATGAGGCTGTTTGTGGGACATTGCTGTGTACAAACTGGCTGCTGTGTTCGCCCACAAAACACACAGTCACTGCACTTTGCAGTATTTCACGAGAAGTGCTTTGGGGTGCCCTCCTGACATGAAAGGCACTATACCAAATATCAGTATTATAATTACTTTTTTGAGCCAAATATAATGATTTGGGTTGGAACTTGTACATCTAACTCAGCACGGTCTCGGTCTCGCTGGTCTGATTCCTGAAGCAGTCATGTACTCCCAAGGCTTTGTGATGACAGACCTGCCAGCCTGATTTGTCAGCAGGACTTGGAGGGGCAAACCAGATGATTCTTCCCATTCCACTCCTGTTAACCCTGCACACCAAAGCTCTAATGGGTAGGGTGATCCTAGCAGGACAAACAGCAGGAAGCTTGCCAGACTGTTTGCAACAGAATGCAATGTGGGTTAAATTTCAGCAGTACCCAACACCCGCACACTGATCTGATGCTTTTAAGCTTGGTGATGGATTTCTGCACGTCACATGCCTGGCTGACCCAAAAAAATCAATGCATGTGTTACAAATACCAATTCCCTGTTTTAGAGTTTGAGTGACTGACTAAGTACTCCTCGCAGAATTTATCAAAAACAGTCCTAATATTTTCTAAATATAATGTATACAGGATGTGAAGAATACTTGCTTACACAAATGGGGAGGTGATGAAAATTGAATCTCATAAACAAAAGAGGAAGACAAATTACCAACACAGTGTAAACTAGGAATTTGTCGATGTCTCTGTTTCATCACACCTAGTTTTGCAAATGCAGTCTGAGAACCAAAGTAAGCAGAGTCCTAATTGGTGCTGCCACATTGAGCAAGTGAATTCTGAGCATATTGATGCAGATTATTTCTTTTCAAAAGTAATATTTTTAATAAAAACTGTGACTGAGCTTGTTTCAAGCATGGGAGAAGCTTGATTTTATTTGCAGTTTCAGACCAGCATTACTGATTGACGAACACTGGAACCTCAGAAACATCAAATGTTTGGAGTAATTAATTGGGGTCATCAATGCCACATCAAGCAATTTAAGACTGAGGAAAGTGCAGACAAATTCTGTTCATTTTCCTTAGGGAAACAGATGTATTTTATTAATTAACATACTTTTGCATTTTAAGGCACATTCAAGAAAAAAGAAGAGAAGCAGTGAAGAGAGGGAGAAAACTGCTGTAAGTATTAAACTCCCACCTAAAATATTGATGATGTGAAGAGAATAATATATATTTATTTTGTGTTGGGGGAATGGGTGAGTTGCCTGGAACCTGTCATGTTGGAGGAGGGAGATTCTAACAGGCTACTTCTGTAACTTAAAAAAACTATAAAGCATTGATGCCTTATAGGAATATAACCTCCAGAAACTGCTTGCTCACTTTGCGTTGTTTGTTGTTTTGCTGCATACTAGTAAATATAAATTGTGATTTTTTTGCCAACAAGCTTATGAAAGAGCTTTTCATTGCATGCAAAATCATGCTCTTTAGTGTATCCTACAAAAACATATTTGTACCTGCATTAATAATTAATAATGTACCTGCATTAATAATTAATTAATTAATTAATTAATAATTAACATGTGATCAATTTTTAGTTCTTTCAAATTAATTAATTTGGGATGTCCTCCCGACATGAAATAAACTACATAAGTGTAATTTGTTGTTGTAATTTCCCTTAGCTGAAATGCAACTTTCTCTTACTATCATGAAGCATAAATATACTGCAATGCTGTAAAGTAGGAGCACATTTATCTTTTTACCTAATGGTTATTGATAATAAACCAATCTTACAGGGCTAACATGTATATAACCCTAAGGGGCATAGCAGATTAATCAGCATCCATAACCAGGAATTTTATTCCCTGCAGGGAAAAAAGTGAAACTAAATAATATATTTTATTAAGATATTTGTCTCCATTCACCAAAGTCTGTAATTGATTTTCTGTACACCTGTTGACCACAGCAAAAAAAACACTAAACTGTCTAAATTCTATAACAAACTCATACGCTTTACATTTTATGTACTTTTAAACTGGAACATACGCAATGTACAGTAAATGTGTACACCTGAATAGTGATCTGTTTGATAGCTTGAATTCATACTGTCCCTTTCTACAGATCAGATCAAGGTTGCACAAACATGGTGTAGAAATGTTATTACATTTTCCCATTGATCAGAATATTTTATTTAGAGAATCCTACAGTTATAAGTTTGCTTAACGCATTTGGTTTGTAGAAAATGCTAACAAACTAAGCAATTATCTGTTAATAATGTGATTTGGAAGATGTCTAGTTACCACTTGCATTCGGTGCATACATCGTAACATAAATGTTACATTATGGAGAATGGATTAATAAGATCAAACATTCAGTGGCAATCTGGAAATTATTTTTACTTATTTTTACAACAAATAAAACATGCCATTGTGGCAAAATACTTCTTAATTATTCTAGAACCATGTGTAAAATGGTTCAAACACACCAAGACCCTGCATGCATGAAGAGCACTATATAAATAACCCCCATCACACTAGTTCTACTGGCTCCCTATCGCTGAACGTGTCAATTTCAAGATCCTCGCACTCGTTTTCAAATCCCTTCATGCCCTAGGATTTCCCTACCTCTCTGACCTGCTTACCCCACAACCCACAATCCACTGCCTCCGCTCAACTGGCTCCAGCCTGCTGCGTGTCCCTCATGCCCTGGTTTCACCATTGGTGGTTGCGCTTTCAGATACTATGCCCCAAAACGCTGGAGCACATTTTCTCTATCCCTCCGCCTTGCCCCTTCCTTCCCCATCTTCAGGTCACGCCTGAAGACCTTCCTCTTCGACTGTGCCTCCAGTCACCTCCCCCTTCAGCACCCATCTCGGCATCGTGCTCCGCCATTGTCAAGCGTACTACCCGGTGTGAGGGGCGCTATATAAATGCAAATTCTGCGCCTTGGGATGTCCTGATGTGAAAGGCACTATACAAATCTAATTTGTCGTTATTGTAAATGCAAGTTGTTGTAAAATAGAGATAGTAAAGAGCAAGGCACCAATCAGGTTCAAACCTCAAAATAATACTTTCAATACTAATACATGATTTTTAATTTAAGGAGAAGTTCAAGAAGAAAAAGAAGCATAAGAAACATGGAAAAAAGAAAAAGAAAGCCTCCAGCTCAGATTTAGATTCAGCGTGAGACAAAGGAAGGGATTATTTTTTTAACTTCATTGAATTTTGCAAGCTGCATGGCAAAGAGCTGATGTGGAAGAGACTTGAACACTACCTAATGCATGACTTTCCAAACTTTGCTTGCATTCATACCAACGTTTGTAATTTTTACAGGTTGCTCTTATCTACAGTGATGAACAATAAATAAGCCTCCATGATTTTTGAGGGCTTCAGGTTCACCAATGTGAACATTTTTGATAAGTAATGTAATCCCTTGTTAACTTGTTTAAATGTGTAAAGATCCAACCATATTTGCCTGTAGTGTATGAACGTGAAATGAAAAAGTGAAGTTCTGCATTTTCCTCCCTAATTTATTAGCAGTTCTATATTGCTGTTTTATCAATTAACTGCTTCTCAACCTGACTCAGACTTATACTAGAAAGTTATTTTTGTATAATTTTCTCACAATCTTTTATGTTCAACAGACCTAAGATATCAGTTTGTTTAAAGTTTTAAAATGATTTCAGAATGGGGAATGCCATTCTTGAGAAAGTAATAACTTCAGAGTTTTATAATTTTGTAAAATATTAAATAAACCAAAATATTTGTCCTACCTGTCTGTTTTGTTTACCAAACTTTGAAAAAATAAAGTGCATACGTTTAAAAAAAAGCTTGGTGATTGTGTTAATATCTTTAGTGGCTTAACATAGGCACCTTTTAAAGTTCCAACATATTTAGAAAAACACTAGCTTTATTATTATAGTCTGACGGTTTTCTGCAGTTGGTAAAAATAACTGCCTTTCAAATTAAGGCAATTTAATTTTCCACAATTTTATATTATCTTAAATTTTAAGGCAAAATAATCGTAAGGGTACAAACCTTAATGGCACTTCAGGCACTTCTTGCACAAGCTGATAACTGGTAATTGTAAGCAGTTAATTGATTACCGGTAACCAGTAATCTGTACCGGATCTCCTAAGTTTCATTTTGACATTATCAACTCCAGACATGTTGAGCTTCCTTCCTCCCTACGTGATAAGTTTCAATGTAAGCTTGAAGTTGAAACACAGAGAAATGTACCATACTGGTTGCTTAACTACTGCTCCACATTGAGGTAGATGCTCCCAAATGTGTAAAGTGAGAGTCAGCCTATTATTTAACCATGGAGATCTAACCAGTGAACTCAAATTTATATTCACTGGAGCCCCATATATCAAAAGGAAATGGCTAATCTTCTCAGCTCAATTCTCTTGCCTCTTTCACGACCTATCGCTTTCATTAACTAAGACCAAAGAAGTAATTGAACTTGGTGACTTCCTATGCAGTATACCTTCATCCTGGACCATACATTTAACTATTGGCTTATATGGGGGGTGGGGGGAATCATTCCAAGACCATTTATTTTTTAAATTGATTAAACTTGAGTAGGTTTGTTCCAAGCTGAGAAAAGCATGATAACAATGACAAGATATCAACCTGGTTGAGTTACTAGCACTCTCATCTCAGTGAGTCAGAAGGTTGTGGTTTCAAGCTGCATGTTGGGACCTGAATTCTTGGTCTAAAATTACACCCATGCAGTGCTTGATTGTTGGAGGTCCTTCAAGTGAGGTTAAACCAAGGGGACATCTGTCTGTTCAGGTAGATGTTAATGATCCCATAATAATAATAATAAACCTTCCTTTTGATATAGCGCCTTATCACGTCTTCGAGACGTCTCAAAGCACTTCATAGAATATACTGTAAAGTGAAGTCATGTGATCACATTCTGCATTTCCCATATACTGCCAGTCCTTCTGCTCTCCCCGTTTAATTTTGTATTAACTTCTGTGGAGTCAGGTCGATTAACATGAAATACAAGACCCACCACGTGTCTTATATGGACTGTATTTTGTGGGTGAAAGCCAATTGCGGACAGCAGTCTCCCACAAACTGTCGTAGATTGAGTGACCAAATTATTGTTATTTTATTTTTTGAAGGGTTTATTACCACTGGAAAAGAGATCCACTAATTGACTAACAATCGGGTTCCTGCTTACTGCTAGGTAAACAGAGGCGTGTAGAGTAAGGAAACTTGCCCAACATTTCATCCTGCCTGGGAATCGAACACTGGTCCTCTCAACTGCGAGGGAAGTGCTCTAACCACTGAGCTACAGGACTACAAAATATGGCGGTGGGGGGCTCATGCTCCACCTGCAGGGAAGCACAATGAGTGGAAGTAGGATTGAAGATTCTGGAAATAGAGAGGCCTTATGCTACATAATAATAATAATTCTAGCATTTGATATAGCGCATTAAAGATATCTCCAAACACTTCACAGTATGTACTATAAAGTGGATTGACTATTTTGTGGGCAAAACGAACATGGTACATAGCATTCAGATACCAGACACATTATTCTGAAAGAATTGGGACACTTGTGGTTAAAACTCATGGGGATGAAGTGATGGGGCCTCCACTTCCACTCGCCCCACGGTCACCTGCCCTCACCCCATCTCGGCATCGTGCTCCACGACTGTCAAGCGTACTGGGAAGCTACCCTGCGTGCGGGGTGCTATATAAATGCAAATTCTGCGCCTTGGGATGTCCTCCTGATGTGAAAGGCGCTATACAAATCTAATTTGTCGTTATTGTAAATGCAAGTTGTTGTAAAATAGAGATAGTAAAGAGCAAGGCACCAATCAGGTTCAAACCTCAAAATAATACTTTCAATACTACTACATGATTTTTAATTTAAGGAGAAGTTCAAGAAGAAGAAGAAGATTACGAAACATGGAAAAAAGAAAGCCCCAGATTTAGATTCAGTGTGAGACAAAGGATGGGATTTTTTTTTAACAAACCTTTCTTCATTGAATGGCAAAGAGTTTCTGTGGAAGACACTTGAACACTACCTAATGCATGAATTCCTAAACTTTGCTTGCATTCACATCAACGTTTGTAATTTTTACAGGTTGCTCTTATCTACAGTGATGAACAATAAATAAGCCTCCATGATTTTTGAGGGCTTCAGGTTCACCAATGTGAACGTTTATGATAAGTAATGTAATCCCTTGTTAACTTGTTTAAATGTGTAAAGATCCAACCATATTTGCCTGTAGTGTATGAACGTGAAATGAAAAAGTGAAGTTCTGCATTTTCCTCCCTAATTTATTAGCAGTTTATATTGCTGTTTTATCAATTAACTGCTTCTCAACCTGACTCAGACTTATACTAGAAAGTTATTTTTGTATAATTTTCTCACAATCTTCTATGGTCAACAGGCCTAAGATATCAGTTTGTTTAAAGTTTTAAAATGATTTCAGAATATGGAATGCCATAAGATCATCAAAGGACATGATAGAGTAGATAGTGGGAGATTGTTTCCCCTGGTTGGAGAAACTAAAACCAGTGGTCACAACCTTAAAATCAGAGGCCAGCCCTTTCTCACTGAGTTGAGGAAGAACTTCTTCACTCAAAGGGTGGTGAATATATGGAACTCGCTACCCCAAAGGGCTGTTGACGCTCAGTCCTTGAACATATTCAAGACTGAGATAGATTTCTTATTGCAAGAGGGATTAAGGGATATGGGGATAAGGCAGAGCTAGGTTATTAGCTGGAGTTAGATTAGACGATCAGCCATGATTGAATGGCGGGGGAGGATCGAAGTGCCAAAGGGCCAAATGGCCTACTCCTGCTCCTACATGTTATGTTATGTTATTCTTGATAAAGTAATAACTTCAGAGTTTTATAATTTTGTAAAATACTAAATAAACCAAAATATTTGTCCTACCTATCTGTTTTGTTTACCAAACTTTGAAAAAATAAAGTACATACATTTAAAAAAAAGCTTGGTTAATATCTTTAGTGGCTTAACATAGGCACCTTTTAAAGTTTCAACATATTTAAAAAAAACACTAGCTTTATTATTGTGTTCTAACGGTTTTCTGCAGTTGGTAAAAATAACTGTCTTTCATAGTAAGACAATTTAATTTTCCATAATTGTAACCCTCTCCCCAACCCTAACTAACTAACTGGGAACAATTGTAATATTTTAACACTACTGTCTAAACGCTAACCTCGATTCTCCCCGTTCATTTATACCATTCACCACATGGTTTTAGACATGTTAGACACATACTCATAGCACAAACCATTCCACAATCAGTCATATGCGGTCATGCGTTTTGTTAAAAATACATCATGAGAGTTTCAAGTTGGTAAGTCAAATGAAAGTCTCCCAGTTTCTCTTGGCCAATTCATTAAGTTGAGTAAGAAAGCACTACCTGAAATGAAGGAAGTGAAAGTAGCAAATGTAGCAGAGTAAGTAAAGGGAAACATAAGGTCATCAGCATCAGATATTCAAAAGATTGAAAAAGCAGAATCCTTGCATTTGATATAGCGCCTTATCATGTCTTTGAAGCGTCTCAAAACGCTTGACAGAATGTACTGTAAAGTGAATTGATTGTACATTTTGTGGGCGAATCGCAACAGCCAATTGCGCACAGCAGTGTCCCACAAACAGTCGTGGATTGAGTGACCAAATTTTAAAAAATTTATTTATAAATATTATTTAGCTGGCGAAGACGCTGAGATTGGTGTTGGGATTAGAATTCCGGGTATGAAGAGAGGATCACAAAGATTACAAGCTTTTTCTTTAGAAAAAATAAATAGCCAGAGAAAAAGATCCAGTTCTTTAAAATGATGAGACATCTCGAGTGGACGTTCTGGAAATAAGACAGCTTTCTAGAGTAGGCCAAGAAAATAAAACTAGAGAGTGTAGGTACAAGATTTAAAAAGCTAAAGAAAGCTGGACATACAAAGTCGTCTTCCTTTGGTTTTTTGGGGATGTGAAGCACTCCCACAAAAGCAGCGCGAGCTAGGACAACTAACTCCTTCAAAAAAAAAATATCCGGTAGAGACAGGATTGAAGGATATACAGATAGGGTATAGATACTGAAATGAACAAAGTTTCCATTGAAAACGATCATTTCTGGGCAGGTGGGCTAGAGGAGTCCTGTGGCTCAGTGGTTTTGCAAGCGAGAGACCTGGGTTCAATTCCCAGCAGGGCGAAACCTTGGGCAAGCTTCCTTACTCCACATGCCTGATAATAATCCCTCAAGAAAAAAATAACAATAATAAATTGGTCATTTTAATCCACGACTGTTTGTGGGACACTGCTGTGCGCAATTGGCTGCCACGTTTCGCCCACAAATATACAGTCAATTAACTTTACAGTCTATTCTGTGAAGTACTTTGAAACGTCTAGAAGACGTGAAAAGCGCTATATCAAAATGCAAGGATTATTCTTATTATTAGAGAATGCTGTTTGGATGAAGGGTGCAATATAAAATTTTGCTGCACTTGTTGTTTCGCCCTGCCCGGGAATCGAACCCAGGTTCTCCCACCTGCGAGGCGAGTGCTCTAACCACTGAGCTACAGGACTACACAATATAAAATAATGATCATCATTATTATAAATTAATTGCAGTGAATATAACAAAGATTCAGAAATGAATACACTCCAGATGAAACAAACAGTAATTTCTAAGTTGAAGTATGGGGTTGTGGCACCTGAAGGGAAAGAGAAAAATAATTGAGCCAAAATAAAATAGCCAATCATTGTATGTTTACTGGTATGGTGAGCAGATGTACTTAAAATGTGGAAGTTTAAATTACTTTCATTTCCATCACATG